TGAGTGGGAGAAAAGTAGAACTTGATGAGGTAATTGTACCTTCTCATGAATTGGAAAGTAGCTCATCATAGAAAACCGTTCCCGTGATGCCTACACCAACTAGAGAGGAAGCTAATGATAATGATCATGAAACTTCAGATCAAGTTACTACTGAACCTCATAGGTCAACCAGAGTGCGTTCCACACCAGAGTGGTATGGTAATCCTGTTCTATAAGTCATGTTACTAGACCATGACAAACCTATAAACTATGAGGAAGCGATGATGAGTCCAGATTCCGCGAAATGGCTTGGGCCATGAAATCTGAGATGGGATCCATGTATGAGAACAAAGTATGGACTTTGGTTGACTTGACCGATGATCGGCAAGCCATAGAGAATAAATGGATTTTCGAGAAGAAGACTGACGCTGATGGTAATGTTACCGTCTACAAAGCTCGACTTGTTGCAAGAGGTTTTCGACAAGTTCAAGGAGTTGACTACGATGAGACTTTCTCACCCGTAGCGATGCTTAAGTCTGTCCGAATCATGTTAGCAATTGCCGCATTTTATGATTATGAAATCTGGCAAATGGACGTCAAAACTGCATTCCTAAATGAATTTCTTAAAGAAGAGTTGTATATGATGCAACCAGAAGGTTTTGCCGATCCTAAAGGTGCTAACAAAGTGTGCAAGCTCCAGCGATCCATTTATGGACTGGTGTAAGCATCTTAAAGTTGGAATATACGCTTTGATAAGGTCATCAAAGCATATGGTTTTATACAGACTTGGAGAAGGTTGTATTTACAAGTGGGAGCTCTGTAGCATTTCTAATATTATATGTGGATGACATATTATTGATTGAAAATGATATAGAATTTCTGGATAACATAAAAGGATACTTGAATAAGAGTTTTTCAATGAAAGACCTCGATGAAGCTGCTTATATATTGGGTATCAAGATCTATAGAGATAGATCAAGACGCTTAATTGGACTTTCACAAATTACATACCTTGATAAAGTTTTGAAGAAGTTCAAAATGAATCAGTAAAGGAAAGGGTTCTTGCCTGTGTTACAAGGTGTGAAGTTGAGTCAGAGAGAAAATGAAAGTCATTCCCTATGCCCCAGCATAGGTTCTATCATGTATGCAATGTTGTGTACCAGACCTGATGTGTGCCTTGCTATAAGTCTAGCGGGGAGGTACCAAAGTAATCCAGGAGTGGATCACTGGACAACGGTCATAAGAACATCATGAAGTACCTGAAAAGGACTAAGGATATGTTTCTTGTTTATGGAGGTGACAAAAAGCTCGTCGTAAATGGTTACGCTGATGCTAGCTTTGACACTGATCCATATGACTCTAAGTCTCAAACTGGATACGTATTTTTATTGAATGGTGGAGCTGTCAGTTGGTGCAGTTCCAAGCAAAGCGTCATGGCGGGATCTACGTGTGAAGCGGAGTACATAGCTGCTTCGGAAGTGGCGAATGAAGGAGTGTGGATGAAGGAGTTCATATCCGATCTAAGTGTAATACCTAGTGCATCGGGTCCAATGAAAATCTTTTGTGACAATACTGGAGCAATTGCCTTGGCGAAGGAATCTAGATTTCACAAGAGAACCAAACACATCAAGAGACGCTTCAACTCCATCTGTGATCAAGTCAAGGATGGAGACATAGAGATTTGCAAAATGCATACGGATCTGAATGTGGCAGACCCGTTGACTAAGCCTTTTCCACGAGCAAAACATGATCAACACCAAGACTCCATGGGTGTTAGAATCATTACAATGGAATCTAGATTATTGACTCTAGTGCAAGTGGGAGACTGAAGGAAATTTGCCCTAGAGGGAATAATAAAGTTGTTATTTATATTTCCTTATATCATGATAAATGTTTATTATTCATGCTAGAACTGTATTAACCGGAAAGTTGATACACGTGTGGATACATAGACAAAACACAGTGTCCCTAGTAAGCCTTTACTAGACTAGCTCGTTAATCAAAGATGGTTAAGTTTCCTAGCCATAGACATGTGTTGTCATTTGATGAACAGGATCACATCATTAGGAGAATGATGTGATGGACAAGACCTATCCGTTACCTTAGCATAATGATCGTTAAGTTCTATTGCTATTGCTTTCTTCATGACTTATACATATTCCTTTGACTATGAGATTATGCAACTCCCGGATACCGGAGGAATACCTTGTGTGCTATCAAACGTCACAACGTAACTGAGTGATTATAAAGATACTCTACAGGTATCTCCAAAGGTGTTTGTTGGGTTGGCATAGATCGAGATTAGGATTTGGCACTCCGAGTATTGGAGAGGTATCTCTGGGCCCTCTCGGTAATGCACATCATGATAAGCCTTGCAAGCAATGTGACTAATGAGTTAGTTACGGGATGATGCATTACGGAACGAGTAAAGATACTTGCCGGTAAAGAGATTGAACTAGGTATGAAGATATCGACGATCGAATCTCAGACAAGTAACATACCGATGACAAAGGGAATTACGTATGTTGTCTTTGCGGTACGACCGACAAAGATCTTCTTAGAATATGTAGGAATCAATATGAGCATCCAGCTTCCGATGTTGGTTATTGACCGGAGAGGTGTCTTGGTAATGTCTAAATAGTTCTCGAACCTATAGGGTCTGCACACTTAACGTTCGATGACGATTTTGTATTATATGAGTTATGTGATTTGGTGACCGAATGTTGTTCGGAGTCCCGGATGAGATCACAGACAGGAAGAGGAGTCTCGAAATGGTAAGAGATAAAGATTCATATATAGAACGATAGTATTTGTACATCGAAAGTGTTCCGGGGGTACCGGGTACGTATCGGGTCACCGGAAGGGGTTCCGATCTACCCTCGACAAACTATATGGGCCTATTGGGCCAAGAGGGGAAACGCAACAGCCAGCATGGGCTGCTGCGCCCCCCTTGCTGGCCGAATAGGAAGGGGAAAGGAAAAGGGTAAGAGAGAAGGAAGGGAGGCAATTCGGCCTCCCCCTTCCTTCCCTCCTCTCTCCCCTTTCCTTCCCTCTCCGGAAAATATGGTAGGGGGGGGGGGTGAATTGGACAAGGCCCCCAAGTAGGATTCCTCCTACTTGGGGCGCCACATGGCTGTCCCCCTCCCCCTCCCACCTATATATATGTGGGGAGGGGCGCCTAGAACACACAACAAACATTGTTAGTCGTGTGCGGCGCCCCCTCCACAGTTTACTCCTCCGGTCATATTCACGTAGTGCTTAGGCGAAGCCCTGCGCGGATCACTTCACCATCACCGTCACTATGCCATCGTGCTGACGAAACTCTCCCTCGACACTTTGTTGGATCAAGAGTTCGAGGGACGTCATTGAGCTGAACGTGTGCAAAACTTGAAGGTGTCGTACGTTCGGTGCTTGATTGGTCGGAATGAGAAGAAGTTCGACTACATCAACCACGTTGTCAGACGCTTTCAGTCTACGAGGGTATGTGGACACATTCTCCCCTCTCGTTGCTATGCATCTCCTAGATAGATCTGCGTGAGCGTAGGAAATTTTTTGAAATTGCATGCTATGTTCCCCAACATTCACCTACAAGGCTTTCCTGGTAGTGGGGGGGGGGGGGCAAGAAGGGCGGCGAGGAAGAGGAGTTCGACGTCAAGGAGTGGCGGAGCATCTTCCCCGACTACGACAACGACGGCACCGGCCCGGACCCATGTCTTATCGAGGGTGGCCTATTGAGGAAACATTGCCTCGACCTCCACCACGACCGATGAGGATGAGTAGTTTTTAGTGTAGTTTAAGTTTGAATTTATGTTTGATGTTCGGTTGTCAAGATCATGTTGAACTTATGTTTAAATACATGCAAATTTCGATTGAAATTAAGTTGAATTTATGCAAATTTATATTTTACTCTGCTAAGTTTAGGGGATCGGATAGAACCGATTAAAACTTAATGGAGGTTTACTCGGCGGGATACTCTGCTATTTTTAGGGGATCAGTTAGAAATACCCTAAGAGCAGCTTGGGACAACATAATGGAACACCCGCATGAATGAAGTGAACACAAGACAAAGGGGACAGTAACCTGTTTGTTTCACCCATATTCTCGAGTACGTACTATATATATAACTTGAAAAGAAAAATGATACTAGTATAGATTAGCTATCCCTAGTTCTGAACTTGTAACAGATGCATATATATACAAACAAAAAAACGAGTACCACATTAGCTCAGCAAGCACCATGATCCATCCCTAGTTGGTTCTGAATTTGCAGTGGATGTGGATACAAAGAATGAAAACAAACGGGGGAATTTGTGTCCCTAGTTGGTTCTGAATTTGCAGTGGATGCGGATACAAAGAATGAAAACAAACGGGGGAATTTGTGTTCCTAGTGTTGTTGCAATTTACTAGCACCTAGACAAATGCTCAACACTACCCTGTTTCAGTCTTATTTTTGTGAAGCTGAAACAATTTACTAGCACCATTTTGCATCTTTCCTATCCTATGGAGAACAAAGCAGAGCCAGTTACGTGTGTGAAGATGGATAGATAGATGGATGGATGGAAACAAGGAAGAGAATTGCTGCTGCTGCTGCTGCATTATTGCGCTCCCCTCCAGGTGCCAAGGGGCAGGCAGGCGGGCAGGCAAGAGGAGCTTGTTCCTTGTCCACCGCAGGCGAGGTGATAACCCAACCTGTGGCCATTCCCGCTCTTATCTCCAGCCCGAGTTCCTAGTCCTTTCCCCACTCAATTTCGGGGCGCAAATCTCATTCTCTTTGGTGCGCAGGAAAATTGAGCGGATGCCGTCTCGTCTCCTCCACATTATCCGCGCTTGATTAATCTGCAGTGCGCACGCCCAGCAACGCGACAAGGAATCTCGCTGCCTCTGCCCTGCCATTACACTACAAATTCCCACCTGCTCCCCTGTTTCTTGGTTCCCTTCTTCTCCACATCACCCCCCACACCCACCTTTCCCCTCCGCGGCGGCGCACGAGGGATCTGCCTCCGTCCGGAGAAGACGAGGAGATGATGGGGAGGAAGGCCCTGGACTACGAGGAGCTCAACGAGAACGTCAAGAAGGTGCAGTACGCCGTGCGCGGGGAGCTCTACCTCCGCGCCTCCGAGCTCCAGAAGGAGGGCAAGAGGATCATCTTCACCAACGTCGGCAACCCGCACGCCCTCGGCCAGAAGCCACTCACCTTCCCCCGCCAGGTTCGTATCTTCTTCTTCTCTTCACCAACCTAGGAAACAGGATTGATTGGAGGTTGGTGGGTCTGCTTACTTGTCCTTTCGGTGCGCAGGTGGTGGCGCTCTGCCAGGCTCCATTTCTGCTCGATGATCCCAACGTCGGCCTCATCTTCCCCGCCGATGCCATCGCGAGGGCCAAGCACTACCTCTCCCTCGCACCCGGCGGTTTAGGTAAAACATATTCTCGTCCGCCCAAAATCCATCCCTTCTTTTCTACTACTCCTAATCCAGGATGTTTCTAGGTTTTCTTCAGGCACTCACACTTGTGCCTTTTTTTTACTCCATATATATGCATGCAAGTGGAAGTGGATAACAAATGCAGAGCTGACTATTTTTTAATTTCTTCACATAACAAATAATTATCCACTTTTATCTACTCACTCATGTATTACAGTACTATGTTCCATTGTTTCTGTAGTCTTACGTATATATTTGCGTGTGTGTGTTTGACTGACACAACTTGTAATCTATCTCATCAGGTGCTTACAGTGACTCCCGAGGTATCCCTGGGGTTAGGCAGGAAGTTGCCGAGTTCATTCAGAGGCGTGATGGGTATCCAAGGTCAGACTGAACAAGAGCGCCGATGAAAATATCCTATCTACTTGCACATCTCAGTTTTTCTGGTCAGCCTTCCTCCCTCCTCACACTGGTATTGTATTGTATGATCTACTTATTGCAGTGATCCAGAGCTTATCTACCTCACTGATGGTGCCAGCAAAGGTGTGATGCAAATGCTCAACGCCATTATCAGAAACGAGAGGGACGGGGTATGGTTATCCTTGAAAGCCGTATCTTTCCCCCAGAATCTTACTTAAGATTAAGTGTAAATAAACCCAATGTGGTTGAGATGCATGTATCTTTCTTGGCAGATTTTGGTCCCTGTTCCACAATACCCGCTTTATTCTGCTGCTATTTCCCTCTTTGGTGGTTCTCTTGTCCCGTATTATTTGGAAGAAGAGGCTAACTGGGGACTTGATCTTGTCAGTACCCGGCAATCAGTTGCAGAAGCACGGTCAAAGGGAATCACTGTAAGTGTTTTATAATTTAGGAGTTAGCATGTATATTTCATACTGTCTTCCATACTCATCAGAAATACTAGATGTAACCAATTAGGGGATTACGTATTATTTTTATCCAACTAGAATGCTATGCTTGTCTTCTCTGCAATCAGACCCTTGCCTATCTTCAGTCTCTACACTAAAACCTCTACTAACTCTTGGGAAGAAAGATCAGTAGTCTAATAGTTAGCTTGAAGAAACAAACACTTGTAAAATTGTTTGTTGGATGTTTTATGTTTGACAGTGTAATTTGTTTCACCTTCTCATAGTTCATGATTTTCTTCTTCTTTCTATATAGTTGTAGTCATGCTGCTTATATAAAATTGTTATCCTTAATGTATACTAGTTGTATTTAGCTCTGATGATTTTTTTTTTCCTCCAATCTAGGTTCGAGCAATGGTGATAATAAACCCAGGAAACCCTACTGGTCAATGCCTAAGTGAAGCAAATATTAGGGAACTTTTGAACTTCTGCTATCAGGAAAACTTGGTTCTGCTTGCAGATGAAGTTTATCAACAGAATGTTTATCAAGATGAGCGTCCGTTTATAAGTGCAAGAAAGGTACCGATGGTTACAGCTTCACTCAAGCTTATAGTTTTCATGTGACAAGTCTATAATCTAGTGAGCACTCTAAGTTGCCCTTAAGTAACACATATTGACAAGTACTTGCTTCCGCACGCCGAGAAACTACTACAAGAGATTAGGCTCGTGCTGTGTTACACTGAAAGATAATCGGATTTTTTTCTCAAATATCAATTGCGCTGACCACAATGTCCTTTCTCAACATGTTCTAGGTTATGTTTGACATGGGTCCTCCAGTAAGCAGGGAAGTTCAGCTGATTTCTTTCCATACTGTGTCCAAAGGATATTGGGGAGAGTGTGGACAGCGTGGTGGGTACTTTGAAATGACAAATATTCCTCCCAAGGTAACATGCCACTACAGAATTTATGATTTATCTTAAAGATTATGAACAAGTTACTTACTACTATGTATGAAGGATGCAGCTATAAAAAAACGAAATACATATATAAATAAGATTTTACATAATTCATGTATTATTGCAAAAAAAAAATCAGCATCAGAATTTCCTAGCCTTGCTGTTGTTCTTTCTTAGCAGTACAGTTGTGTATATACTACAATGTGCAATATGATCCACTAAACCCATCCTGTACTAGCTAGGTTGTTGCAATTACATTTGTTGCACCAACATATTCCTTTTTTTAGTGGAGTGCACTTTGTGGATACCCCAAAAACTGTTGGGTAATGAACAATGCATGTTGGAGTTATATGTATGTCACCAGTCCCTCGATGTTCATTTACAGCTGCTAGCTGTGTCCAACCTCAAAGCTTTGAAAGTTGAGATTGAACGTGTAAATAAGACAAGTCACATAAATAAGGATGGCACTTTATTCCATTGTACAAACGTTTACACTAAAGCTTGGATGGTAACACATACTCCCTCCATCCAGAAATACTTGTCCAAGGAATGGATGTATCTAGATGTATTTTAGTTCTAGATACATCCATTTGTATCCATTTCTACGACAAGTATTTCCGGACAGAGGGAGTACTTTCTTAAATACCCATAATCAAATTGCTCTTCTGTTTGTTCTGACAGACTGTCGACGAGATTTATAAGGTTGCATCAATCGCGCTGAGTCCAAATGTTCCTGGGCAGATCTTTGTAAGTGAAACAAAGTTTAATGATTCTGTTGTTGTTTTTGGTTGGGCGGGGTGGGGGTAGGAGGAGGCAATCCATGAACTACTATTGAAATTCTTGAGAACCAGAACCTCGTTTTCCCTGTTGTATTCTGTGTTGTGATCAGCATACTTTTTTTTTGCAGTTATCTTGCTTTATTTTAAGAAGTTATACAATGGTTCTGATTCTTTAATTTGCAGATGGGGCTTATGGTGAACCCTCCTAAACCTGGAGACATCTCGTACCTGAAGTATTCTGCTGAAAGGTTAAAAACACCGCCCTTCGTATTTCTTACTATATGCCTCACTTCCCATATGAAAGAACATTAGCGTGTTTGCTGGTACTAACATGCCTCAAACCGACGTTGCAGTAAGTCTATCCTTGAATCTTTGAGGAGGAGGGCACAAATAATGACAGACGGTTTCAATAGTTGCCGAAATGTTGTCTGCAATTTCACAGAAGGTAACATAAAAGCTCTAAACTGCATATTTTTGTCTGGCTATTATCTGTAGCAGGAGCTATGTATTCTTTCCTGCAAATACGCCGAAATGCATATTTTCAATGACAAAGAAGCTTCTCTCTGATGTTATATGCTATTATGCTTTTGCAGGAGCTATGTATTCTTTCCCGCAAATACGCCTGCCGCAAAGAGCTATGGATGTAGCCAAAAGCGCTGGCAAAGCGCCTGATGTTTACTACTGCCTCAAGCTTCTGGAAGCCACTGGAATTTCCACTGTTCCAGGCTCAGGTTTTGGTCAGAAAGAAGGGTAAGTGCTTTTCTGATATCATCAGTTATTGTTTTAATGTTTTTTTTAGTTACAAGGTGTAACAGATCCTAGCTACTCCCTCCGTTTCTAAATATAAGACCTTAGATTTCAATATGGACCACATACGGATGTATATAGACGCATTTTAGAGTGTAGATTCACTCATTTTGCTCCGTATGTAGTCTGTATTGGAATCTCTAAAAAGGCTTATATGTAGGAATGGAGGGAGTAGAAGTGAAGCATGATAAACTGGGCATATGAGAACAGTGGTCCATCATCAGTGTTGTGATACACATGGAAACTGTCACTGCACTTTGGGCTTATGATAATTATGAACCTAATAAGAATGGGAATGGGCTGGCCTTCTCCAGCCTGGACTTGGTTTCTATTACTACCATGAAGATGTTAGCACCACAAGTCCACAACTTAGCATATTTGCATTTCTGGAACAAAAGCAATCTTGGGTCAATAGTTTGAAACTTTCCTATAAGCACAAGCCTAACAACCCTTGCAAAGGTATATACTATCATAACGGCATACTACAGCCCTGGGCAACCAAATCTGGGTCAACCCACTCATCCTGATGGGCCGATGAGGATCGACTCCGCTAGCCCTGTTTCCACACGAAGCCGACCCAAAAGACCCATTGGACTGGAAATTTTGGGCGGGGTGGGTGACGTCAGCCCATTCCCATCTTGGTTGAACCATTGTAGGAAACCAGTCCTCCTGTTCATCACCATCATCCTGATCATATTTTTTTACTGCAGAACCAATCACCGTTTGTCCTTGCTCAGTAATAAGATTGCACTTTATGATGTTGAACAATTTGCAGGGTGTTCCATCTGAGGACGACGATCCTGCCCGCGGAGGAGGACATGCCGGCGATCATGTCGAGCTTCAAGAAGTTCAACGACTCATTCATGGAGCAATACCAGGACCACTCGAGGCTGTGAAGAGAGAAGAAAACAAAGCATCTACATATAATATAATGCTGCTCTTTTCTACCAGCAATTGAAGTTGATTAATTAGCTGTAAGCTGTAACTATGGTGAAGAAAACTGGTTGCTATGCTTGATATGTATAGGGGGAAATTATATGCGGAAATGTTCGGTCCATTTACTACATATGATGATACTGTAATTGTTGGCTCCAATAATTGATCCATAATAAATAATTAAACACCCTTTGTTAAGAGCTTGATCGCCCTTGTTGTTCGAGCTTTAGCTAAGGCAGTATGCATGCACGCATGCTGACACACAGCACCGGAACGAGATACTATATGCTACTGTACTTATCAATCAATTGGTTTTCTGATACAATACAGCAACACCTACTCCCTGCTTCTGACTTTGCTGGAAAAATATGCACTCCCTGAATTGAATGGCATATACCTGGCTGCTAACGCTCGTCCTATCAATTTACTAGTTTGTTATAAGGGCAGTCCTAAAGAAGACTGGCAAGTAACGACTCCAAAGACAATTAATTAACACAAGTCTTGTGAAGAATTTCAGATAGTTGAAGATAACATGGGCGAAAATAATAGCCATACGCGTTGCAATCATCGTCGTCATCGTATCGTACTGTGGGAAGGAAAACCAAGGCAATTGCTGTGGTGGCAAATTAAACTAAAATTGTAGGAGAGGACTGAGGAGCTCAGTACATGCATGCTCATTCACCAACTTGCAAATGCTTACCGTTACCGACGAGAAATCCTACCGACTTCGTAGTACCGTACCCAGGGTAAGTCAAAGAACAATATTCCTGCTTCTAGATGTTCACAAGTTCCAGTCCCCAGTTTGACAAAAAGAACCAGTCACATATAGCTATTGAGCTCGCTATCAGGGGAAATATTTTATACCGTGAATAAGTGGAGTAAAAAATAAAAATGCAATGATATGTGGCCAGGTTGTGCGTTACAAAATTTGTAAGTAGGATTTGGACTTTTATCATTTTTACTGCAACCATGATTCTTTATATAACTCGCGCAAGAAACCTCATCTAGCTAATATTTTATATTCGGAAACAACACGGGTTGAGAAAAGAAGCGAAACCAACTCCTTAGAGATAAATCTATGCGAGATGCGGAAACGTCTTACCTCGGTGCGAGGAGACGTGTTTCATGTTATATGCAGGGGCGCAAGATCCCTGAAGGCGCATACATGATGGTTGAGATATTACAGGAGACTTGGAGGAGAAGGGATAAGAAGATAGAGTAGATTACAAGAGAGAATATTTGAACTACCCTAGTCTATCTCTATCTCTAGGTGCATCTGGTGCGGTACAAGACATCTCAAGTAACGTGACATAAGATGTGTTTAACACCCTCCCTTAATCACAACTTCATCAAGTTGAGATTATGTTTAAACTCTCCAAAACTTCTTGTAGGTAACGGTTTTGTGAATCCATCCGCAATTTGATCTCTGGAATGCACAAACTGAATCTGAAGTTGCTTCTTGGCAACCCTTTCTCTCACAAAATGAAAGTCTATCTCAATGTGTTTTGTTCTGGCATGAAAGACTGGATTTGCAGATAAGTATGTGGCATCCAAGTTATCACACCATAAAGAGGGAACTTGACTACTTCGGATACCAAGTTCTCTTAACATGGATTGTACCCATATGACCTCAGCTGTGGCATTTGCCAGTGCCTTATACTCTGCCTCTGTACTGGACCTAGAAACTGTGGCTTGTTTTCTTGCACACCAGGATATTAAGTTTGGGCCAAAGAAAATTGCAAAACCACCAGTGGACCTTCTGTCATCCAAGCAACCTGCCCAGTCAGAGTCTGAAAAAGCACTTACAAGTGTAGAGGATGACTTGCTGAAATTCAGACCAATATTGGCAGTATTCTTGACATATCGAACAACACGTTTAGCAGCAGTCAGGTGAACAGAAGTGGGTGCATGAAGAAACTGACAGACTTTGTTGACAGCAAATGAAATATCAGGTCTAGTAAGTGTAAGATATTGAAGTGCACCCACTAGACTTCTATACTTTATGCTATCATCTGGACTCAAAAGATGTCCTTCTGTGAGAGATATCTTTTCTGAACTTGACATAGGAGTGGGTGAGGGCTTACAACTTTGTAGACCTGCCTTCTTTACTAGATCTGCCGCATACTTCTCCTGAGAGAGATGAAGTCCATCCTCATGTTTCTTCACCTCAATCCCTAGGAAATAATGCAAATCTCCAAGATCCTTGAGGGCAAACTCTGTGCTGAGATCTTTCAAGAGCCCTGTGACAGCCTCATCTGATGAGCTTGTGACAATTATATCATCAACATATATGAGCACAAATATGTGTATATTGTGCTTGTTGTAAATGAACAGTGAGGTGTCAGACTTAGAAGGGACAAAACCAAGTTGTTGCATTTTGTGACTGAGACGTGAATACCATGCTCGTGGGGCTTGCTTCAGCCCATAAAGTGATTTGTCAAGTTTGCATATGTAAGAGGGAGCATTTTTGTTCACAAACCCAGGAGGTTGCTTCATGTACACTTCCTCTTCCAGAACACCATGGAGAAACACGCTATGTACATCTAGTTGCCTGAGATTCCAGCCCCTGGAAACAGTAATGGACAAAACAAAGCGAATAGTAGCAGCTTTTACAACAGGACTAAATGTGTCCTCATAGTCTATGCCATACCATTGTTTGAACCCTTTTGCAACTAATCTTGCTTTGTACCGGTCAATGGTTCCATCTGACTTTCTCTTAATTCTAAAGACCCACTTGCAGTCGATGAGATTTTTACCTTGCTGAGGAGGAACCAAATGCCATGTTTTATTCTTCTGTAGTGCCACAAATTCCTCATTCATTGCCTTTTTCCACTTTTCATCGCTCAAGGCTTCCTCAAGATTATGAGGTTCACCAGGTTCACCTGTAGAACATACCATGCCATATTTTGTAACATGCTTGTAGTTTACAGGTTTCGTTACCCCTTTTTGCAGTCGTGTGCGACGTGGAGATGTTGTGGCTGCTGTTTTTGCCGCAGAAGATCCTATGGCAGAAGCTGGAGTAGTTGCAGCGACTGGATCCACCTGCGCCGGATCCTCTGTGGCAGATGAGGACGTGGGCGAAGTTACAGGCGTCACAGCCGGCGCAGAAAATCCCGTCACCAGACTTCGAGGTGGATCCACCTGACCCAGCTGTCGCGACCGACACACCTCATCATTGGCGCAGGACGGCGTGGGCAGCGTATCAGCGCGGGATCCCGCGCCGATCGGACCCGCAGCTGTCGGATGGCGCACGTCCCGCCGCTTGTAGCAGACTGGCTGCGGCGGAAACCGAGCCACCACGGACCCAGTGGCGTCACGCCACCTGGCATCTCCTTATTGGCGCGGAGCAGAGGAGATGTGTCCCCCAGCCACAGTGCGCCGCGGGGCCGTTTCGACGTCGCTTTCAGCGCGTGTCGGCCCGCGCCGGATCGCGCCTGATTCAGCTGGCGCGGAGTCTGAGGCGGATCCGCCTGATCCACCTGCCACATCTGGGTGCGTCGATCCCAAGGGCGATGCTGCGGCTGACGAGACGGATCCCGCGGGGGATTTGCTCCCCTCGCCGTGACACATGAAATATGGCCCTGTAGGGCGTATTTCTTCATCGTTTTGACTGCCGTTTTTTTCCCTGCTTTCTCCTGCATCATCATCATGCTCATACATGGTATTAAGAGGGTCAGTCAATAGTTGATCATTACCATTATCACCCCCGTGATCAAAGCTAGTGAGATGAGAAGGAAGAAGCAGAATTTCTTTTCGGAGGAGTGCACCCGCATTGGGGTGAAGGTGAGCAAAGGGAAACTTGGTCTCGTCAAAAATGACATCACGGGAAACGTATACACGACCAGAGGAGACATCAAGGCATTTTACACCCTTGTGTTGAGCGCTATACCCTAGGAAGACACACTGTTTTGATCGAAACATTAGTTTTCGATTGTTGTAGGGACGAAGATTGGGCCAACACGCACACCCAAAAACACGAAGGGACTTGTAGTCTGGTTTGGTGTGAAGAAGTCGTTCCATGGGAGTTTCGTTGTTTATGACACGACTAGGGAGCATGTTGATAATGTGAACAGCAGTAAGAAACGCTTCATCCCAAAACTTAAGGGGCATAGAAGCACCGGCTAGTAGGGCAAGACCCACCTCAACTATGTGATGGTGCTTGCGCTCGGCAGAGCCGTTTTGTTGGTGTGCGTGAGGGCAGGAAACATGGTGAGATATGCCAAGAGTTTGGAAGAAGGAATTCAACTTTTCGTATTCCCCTCCCCAATCAGATTGTACCGCAAGAATTTTGTGATCAAATTTCCGTTCGACAAGTGCTTGGAAATTTTGAAAGACTTGAAAAACTTCGGATCGTTTCTTGAGAAGATAGATCCAAGAGAACTTGCTATAGTCATCAATAAAACTAACGTAATATGTGTGTCTACCAACTGAGCTAGGGGCAGGACCCCAAACATCTGAGAAAATTAATTGAAGTGGTTGATAGAAACACTGGTAGAGACGGGATAAGGCAATTGATGACTTTTTGCTCTTTGGCATGAATCACAAATAGTTTCAACATGACGCTCACCAACAAACGGGAGCTTATTTTTCCTAAGCAAGCGTTCAACTAAAGAAAATGAAGCATGTCCTAGACGATCGTGCCACCGTGTTGAAGAAATCTTGACAACACCATAGGCTTGTTTATTTTGTCTTCTAAACTCCGGAAGGAACGGGTAGAGCCCTCGAACACATCTACCTCGATAGAGAGTTTTCCTCGTGGCCAGATCCTTGATCAAGAAGAAAAAAGGATGAAATTCAATGAAGACATGATTGTCAAGAGTAATTCTATGAACGGAAAGGAGGTTTTTGTTGGCACTAGGGACATGCAAAAAATTCTAAGATGAATCTTACGATGAGGGGTATGTATAACAGAATGACCAATGTTGCTGATGCTCATACCTGCACCATCGGTAGTGTGGAT